ATGGTAAAGTTCGATCAAACTGTTTCTTAAACAAGGTAACAGAATCAATATTTCTTAAGTTGTCATCCAGCATTTTCCACTCACGCACGCATGATGGAAGAAATGAATTTTTACATGTTCATAGAAACACAACGTCATGCCTTTGGTGACAACAGCAACACAACTCAACCGGTTTTCCATTGACATGTGACATGACGTCAGCAAGACACTGATATTCGATTCGTGCACCGACAAATGTCATATTAACAGCTAGGACAATTCCTGAGACCAATTATTGGCAGAACCGAAGGCGTCTGACGTTGGAACTCATTAGTTCTGAGGTGATGTCACGCCGTTCTAGTGTGAAATATCGACGGATCTGTGCTTAGCAGTGTCGGGTTCAGTGATCTCGGTAAACGCTGCGCGACCCCAGACAGAAGAACTGGGATTGTTCAGCTGTAACTGTAACACCAGGATTCAAAAACACAAAGCATCTCTGGGAATCAGCATTGAATATTTAACACGTTGTACGCAGTTCACATGATATACCCGCAATAAAATAAATGCTGTCTCTTGTTTTACATGCATACATGTAATGTTGAAAATCTTTTGGAATGTATATGTTTGAATGAATTTCAAGATACAGTAGAACATGGATATAGCGAACACGGATATAGCGTACAAACGGATATAGCGAACAAATTTAAAAGTCCCATCAATAGTCCTTTATAATATCATTAAAATTATACGCGAATAACGAACTCGTGAGTAGCGAATTAACGGCTATAGCGAACTGATTTACTACCCCCAAGACCCAATTAACGCCGTGATTAGCGAACTCACTCAGTGTCGGCTCAGCCACTTGGCGGTATACATCAACCTTGTTGGCGGCGAATCAACATTGTTTGATGGTCATTAATTAATTAACAAACAAAAAAAATGTCGTGTTTAAAAGCTTGACTGGTATAAGAAGCAGATTATCTAGATTACTTACGTTGTTAAAACTGGCTTTACCACTAAAATGTAATGTGTTATTTGGCAGTAATGTTCATTGAGTAACAATGTTAGAAGTATAATACATCGTACATAGGATATTCAGTAAGGGGCATTGGTGCTATATTTAGACGGAGATCTGGGATATACTACAACGCTATAGGCCTGTCCAGTGACGTAGAGAACATTATAGAAAGATCTGGAATCTTTTTCTTAGGTAAATAAGGAGAATATTCTCTTACCTCTCATCTGACATTACACCTGAAGTGAGGTAAGGTGAAATTGAGTTTAACGTCGTGCTTGCAATATTTCGCTCATATGACGACGTGCATGCGTGTGTATGTGAGGCTACTTGTACTAGCCCAGAATAAAGCTGGTTTTATAGTGCTAGCTCACTGTTATACCATACCGCAGTGAAGCATGAATACCCCACTCAGACACATTATACTGACTCCGAGTCGACCAGTCCTTGTTCTACCCATTAATGCCGAGCGCCAGGCAGGGACCAACAAGTACCATATTTTAACGTCTTTTGGGATCGACCCCGCGACCATCCGCTCTCTGGGCGGACGCTCTAACCACTACACCACGGAGGTGGTTCACCTGAAGTAATACGAAGTCCAGTAATTGTGTGGAGACCATTCTTACCTGCTTGATCAGTCTTGGCCTAATTTTGGAAACTTGACCATTGTCGCCGTGAGGTGAACATCGCCATCATAATCGTTATTGCTCATAAAGTATGTATTATACTGCTTCTGGAGATACACTGCCACTGTATTGTGTACTGCCACGGTAACACGAGTGACCAGTGATTTTGGCTTAAAGCAATATCCCAGCAACATCACGGCGGGGGACACCAGAACTGGGCTTCACACATTGTACCCATGTTGGGAATCGAACCTGGGACTTCGGCGTGACGAGCGAACGCTTTAACCACTAGGCTACCCCACCGCCCCACCACGGTATTACATTTGTAGCGGTTTGTATTGATTCGTAAACTTAGTTGATTTTAGACTACACTAGTTAATTACATCCCGTCTGTTGGTTGTTTCAGGGTTTCACATGACGTGTGTAGCGGACTGGTTTCCGGTTAGCTACGGTATTAGTTTCAACGTGGGAATTAACGCATAACATATGTAAGACCAAACCCCATGGTAGAAGGAATGGTTTCTTATACAAATATAAATAGGACAAGAAAAGAAACAGAGTGATGAATGTTTCAGTGTATATGCGTGTACCCCCAAGACCAAGCGGCCTCGCCAGAAAGGTGCCTTTCACATCAGTGGACATATAGATCACTTCAATCGAATCTGAGACGAGAAAGTGCAATGTGACCTAAATTTATCTCCAAACTTATAATTTGTATTGTTTGAATGATTCACCGGCAATTTCATTAACAACTTCATCGGATAAATCTTACTGGGTAAAAACGAGTTCGTTCAGTAATAAATTATCCTACATCTCGGTCTCCAATATTGGACTGTCTCTCAATCAAAAGCTACTGTCATTTAAGACATTTGGAGGTACAATGTGAGATGGGCATTCAGGCGATGATTTTACAGAAAAGGGCTAGTTTTAAGTAGCATGTTTTATTTGGGATGACACTTTCTTAGTAAAGTACAGATTCTAGTACTTTGACGGTTGAGTTCCATCCGGGATTCGAGCCTGAACTTTCAGAGTAAGGCACCTAATCGTCAGCACACAAAGTCAGCAGTCTGAACCCGCCCAGCCAGCCGCCACGTAATCCCAAATATAACATATGTTACATTTGACCATTTTCTAAAAAGCATTTTTTGTGTATTCATGCGGTGTTTGGGAGTAGGTTAACAGCTCCTCATAGGCCTAGACAGTGAAGACAGTGCTTCGACCACACCCGTTTTGTGCGGACATATCGTAAGCCATTGGTGACAAGATCGTTTAGTTGAGGATCAAAGTCGGGTTTCAATCGATTTGCAGAAATAACAATAAAGAATTGGTAGGTGTGACTGGTGATCGATAGGCCAACCATCCATGATTATGTTTACATTAAGTACCATGCACTAGCGTTCGGCAAAGCAGGCGGGTGGGGTGCAACGAAGTGTTCGGCCTTGTCATGATGTATTGTACTCAACATGAAGCATTTCGAGTCGGGGGTCATCTACAAAAAAATAATTTAACTTTAATCCTCGCAAAAACACGAGGGCCTGTGACTCCAACGTGTTGCGTGATTATTGTATTCGTATATCACTGAATGTTCGTAAGACTATGCTCTTGGCTAGGAATGTGTATGTACATTCGTTGCTACATTGATATAGGTGTCGCGGCATACTTATGCATACAGACCCGTGCCAGTTATATTCGGACACTTGACGTCATTTCCATAGACTTACATGTTATTTCAGCGTAACATAAATAGTTTTTTATGAAGTGAGTTTAGGATAGATCTTTGTACAATTTGACAGGCAAATTTGAAATCATATCTGCTCTGCGCACATAATTTCAGTTCAGTTGTCCGACCACTATTTAACTAATGACATCACATTTATCAACTTACGTATAGTTCCACAATGCACAATCACATAGGCCGCCATGATAAAGGAGTTCACGGCACTGTACATATGTTGATTAAATCGTTGCCATTCGATAAATAAGCAACGGAAATTTAACAGAAATTATGTGATTGTAGGTAAGATGATTCCTCACAAATGTGCAAAATTTGACTTGGATCATACGAAAATTAAATTCATGAAAATTATTTATGCTACACTAAATTAACATGTAAGTCTATGGAAGTTACGTCATGTGTCTGAATATAACTGGCACGGGTCTGTATATGTATTTGTACAGAACAGTACACTTCTCTTGCACAACAGAGGATGGAAATTGAGGGATAAGGTCAGGTTTATGGTTTATATTTGCATTGAATATAACAATCCTACCAATAAGTAACACTGAAGCGATCTTGTCAGGCGCAAAACAGTCTTTCCCGATGACGTTTCGTCAAAGTGAGGCGCAATTGATGAAACAGCTCAAGGTCGTCTGCTCGCCAGAAGCTGGTTACTGCCCGACAGGGGCGGTGGGGTAGCCTAATGGTTAAAGCGTTGGCTCGTCACGCCGAAGACCCGGGTTCGAATACCCACATGGGTACAATGTGTGAAGCCCATTTCTGGTGTCCCCCGCCGTGATGTTGCTGGAATATTGCTAAAAGCGGCGTAAAACCAAACTCAGTCAGTACTGCCAGACGACTTACGTTCCTAGCAGACGATTGACTGAATAAGAGTTGTGTTGCTTATCCACACAGAAAAACCTGTAAAGTTGAACAGGCTAAACCAAAAATCGCACTCAGAATTTGAAATTGTTTAGGGACACCTATCTGTGTTACCAGTTACGAAGTCTGAGGCGACTGTGTCATCCTTTCAACATGTCCACCTTCAGATGACACACTCTCTCACACACACACTGCTCGTCATACATAGTATGTATCATTGAAATGATAACACAATTTGGCTTTTTGTTGAAATCGTTATTGTTTAACAGGGTCCATGCTTGGAAAAAGACTTATTACAGATTACAAGTGTAACTCAGACATTCACATCAAATCCTAAAACGCTTTTATCAGTTTGTTGCCAGTTACTTTTTTTTAAGTTAATAATAATAATTAAATGGCTGCCATCTCCAAATGATGTGATGGGCGTAGTTATATACGTTGTCATAGTATCCATTAGTTTATAACTTACATTCAGCAATTAGTCTGACTGTGTAATACGCGAACCTGGGGCAGTCAGGACACGTTTATATTACGTGATTAGATAAATAATGAGTTCATGTGCACTAAAGTATTCTCCACTCTGGAAAATAAGTATCCTCCATTGCAAGCGGGCTTCGTTAATGCGAACAGGTACTGTGGAAATTTTGTTAAAACTTACAGACACTCTCTCAGGAAAGCTGTATCCTTCCCCGTTAAAACACCTGTGTCCAATACCTCAGCACAACATTCAATAGTTGAAGCGCTCATAAAATACACCTAACAACCAAATCAATAGAAAAGAAAACACGGAAGTACACAAGGTCGGTTCATCTGTAGATCTACATAGCGTGTGGAGGTTGGTACTCGGGTAGGTAGAAGCACCGTTTGAACAACTGCCATTCACACTATCACGTGTCTGTACAATACTTAGCATTTACACTGGAACCTCCTAGTGTGAAATTTAGGAGGAATCGACTAAAATTCAATGCTGAAAATGTATACAATATATCGACAGAGAACCAAGGAAGGGAGTTAACTCTAATGTTTACTGGAAACATTCAACGCGTGAAATATGGTTTCCCCAGTCTTTGGGCAAATTTAGGAAAACTGTGATCGGTGACATGTTTCTCACGCAAATAGATGCAGATACATTGATGCGTGACCAGGCTGACAAAACCCTGTTCTCGTTACACGAACTCAAAGCACCGTGGTCTCTCATTCTGTAGGGAGACACGCAACATCTGTCATCATACAAAACTACATGCTGCTGTGGATTTCAGTGGTGCGTGGTTGACTGTTATGGCTAGAAACAGACATAATACCATAACCAGGTCATGAAGGTATACGTACTGACAATAGTATACTTTCCCATACTGCAGAGGGTCAATCCCTGGGGGGTTACTGTCGCTGAAACACAAACACATCCAGTGAAGGGGCCCCGTGTTGCAGGCCACTAGAGACATCAGTAAGACCCCGTTGTTACGGTAGATATTGTCATTAAAACACAAAGCCCTTAGAGAGACCTTGTGAACTCACTGACTGTCTCTTTAGGTCCATGAACTTAGTTTATGTCAATAAACATGGTGGAGTTATCCAGTTTGAAATACTCCCGAGTATTTTGTTTTTTACGTCCACACCACGTTATTGGCACTTTCATCAGTGTTAATCTCTCATAAACCTGTGGTTGGTAGCAAGAGAAACTATCAACGCTTCCGTCTGTTTATAATTAATTATTTCTCGGATTTGGATTATATATATGTGTCATCGTGAGGTGGTAGCCGTATTTAGCGGAACTATGCTCGTGATGTCAGTCAGTTATTACCGGCTTAAAACAGCGAAAACGCGCGCATACACCTTGGTTTGAGGAATGGTTTTCACCAGGCGTTCAGTTACAGTTATGTTCAGTCTGATATCTGCAACACTATCGACGCCTGCTAACGCAACCTTGTACTTAGAGATTTCGTTCGTCATTCTGCTAGTCCGGGTTCGATTCCCAACATGGGTACATAATATGACGCATATTTTTGTAACTCCGCCGGGATATAAACAGTATGGCGGCGTAAAACAATACTCACTCATTCATAAACATTCGTTCGTTCCTATCTTTGGTTCTTTAGGCTTCTGCCACAGAGTAATTCAGGCTTAGTATAACATGCATTTTATTACTTTTAGTGTCGGTTGATCATGGCGAGAAGGATGACGAGAGGAAAGGCAGATGTGTCTGTGGAGAGAAACTGGGAAATTCTGACTGAATCAGTGACCACAAAGGACATCAGAGTTGTCAGAGAATGGTTCAAACACAATACAAGTCTGCATGGTCGGGGTAGTGAGTTCCCCGAACATCTTCGAGACCCTGTGTTCGTTGCTGTTGGAGATGGAAGCAAGGCTATATTTACTCTACTATTGCGTCATGGTTTCCAGGTCAACAGACTGACACGCGGCAAACGACGGAATCTGCGACCCGTCCACATAGCAGCGAAATGTGGACAACTGGAGATGTTGATGACGTTGTTGAGTGACCACGATGTGCCTGTAGACACGGAGGACTCCTGCCACCGGACTCCTTTCGCGTATGCTGTCGAGGGCAACCACACAGACGTTGTGCAGTACTTGCTGTCTCAAGGAGCGGACTGTGACAGGCCGAGCCCCTTCTTGTCGCCCTTGGTGTCAGCGGTGAATGGCAACAAGCTGAGTCTGGTAACAGTCTTGACACAGCATGGCGCCAACGTCAACTGCAGAGTTAGTGAGGATGGCTGTCTGTTAAATAAATGCGCGCGTTTAAACTACGTCGATATGATGCAAATACTTTACAACAATGGAGCAAGAGTCGACATACGTGATAAAAATAAAGGATTCGGCATTTTACACTTTGCCTTACACAAGCCCGTTAATATGAAAGTGCTGAAGTTCCTTATTAAGGTCAACGCGCCTCTAAATCAGGTGTGTTCGGAGGGGCGTTCAGCTCTCCTGGGAATGTTAAGTAGCAAGGACAAATTGTTCCACCCTTCCAGATACATACGTCTTCTAGTTGAAGCAGGGTATAATGTGACCCGCAGCGAGTACGATGCCGCCTGTAATGTCCATACTGACTGTGAATCACTTCAGTTGGAACTCCAGAACTATCTGTCCAGTACCTGGTCACTTCAACAGCTGGCTTGTTTCAAGGTTCGTCACATTCTAGGCGCGGATCTGCCAAAGCGCGTCCATGATCTCCCTTTACCAGAGCAGGTGAAGGAGTACGTCCAGCTCAAGCACCTCACAGACTGAGATTATTACGTCGTATAAAGTGCGTATAGTTTTACGCCGCTTTTCTCAATACCTCTGCCGAGTATAACGGGCTCCACAATGCCACATGAAGGGAATCGACCCAAGAGTTGGTTCAGCGTGACGAGCAACAGCTCCACCACAAATCCGAACATTTCAGTGGTCAACCTGTTTCAATATTTAAATCAGCTGAACCGCTGACAGTTTTAGAGCTATCATCTGTTTGTGTCTTTTCCGTATTTCATAAACCTCTTATGCCTGATGACACACAAAAACAATGATACGTATTCAGAGTATTCGAGTGAGTGAGTGAGTGGGTTTTACGCCGCTTTTAGCAATATTCCAGCAATATCACGGCTGGGGACACCAGAAATTGGCTTCACACAATGTATCCATGTGGGGAATCGAACCCGGGTCTTCGACGTGACGAGCGAACGCTTTAACCACTAGGCTACCCCACCGCCCCTTCAGAATATTGGAAACCTGAACTATCCCAAAAGGACTAAATGCACCATGGGTTCCATTCAAGCAGGTTGCTTGTCAGACAGCAAACCATCATTATGTCTGTTTAATTTCTTCACGCAACCGTAATTCCTTCACAACTCAAACTCACGGATGACATCAAGGATGTGTTTGCCAATAACAGTATGTCAATAACGGAGTTTGTGAGTCAATAAAAACTTCCTTTACTCTCCAAGATATCATAAAAACTATGATAATGCACCTTCAACCAATTAACCAATTAAAGGAATTGTTTTTTGAAGTTATCGATATGTTTGTAAAGATACAATAATTATTTACCTCATTTTATGTTTAGATATACAGTCAGCACTGGATGAGAACGTATATGCTGAACTGGAAACTGTATTTCAGTGTCAACCATCTTGATGGCAACCATATAAAGTTACTGTTAGGAGACAGTTTTCTTTATTATAAAATAGTTATAACAGTGTTGAATATTACAGTACATACATAAATGGGATAAGTGGAATAGAAACAGCATAATAGCTATAACAAACAGTAACTCTCAAGTTCATCGTGACGTTAAGGTGTGGATGCTGCGGGCATCATACACAGTTGTCAACACTCGCTACTTGCTGCAAGTCCACACGTTGTCCCAAAACACAGAACACACACTAGGTGGCGACAAGTATCCATTCAGGGGTGGAAATAACTTTAAAATTGCTAGTGTACGCCGGTACAGTGGCACATGTAAAATCACTTGCCCTGACAATTTTCCACTATACCGGCCGTTTTCTTGTTGATTTTTTAAATAAACAACATAATTAATATTGGAAAGTCAACTGGACACCGGTACAGTGTGATATACAAATTTGCTTGCCCGACAGTAAAAAAACACTGGACCCGGGCGTCGGGCAATGGGTTATTTCCACCCCTGAATCCATAGAACTGTCATGTTCAACACGTGTCTGGGCCTAGTCTCAACGATGTATATAGTAACAACAGTTAATGCCATACGTACAGCATAAAGTAATGGTTTCATAACGAGAACACAAGTAACGTCCACTGTCATGGTCGGTATGTATGATATGTTTATAATCTAGGTTATACTTCATATCTGATATTGGCTACTTAGATGTTTCGTTAAGGGACTGGTGTGCTGCAAGGAATGTTGTCTTATCTCCAGGTACGCTTTAACTTGCAAGCTGGAGAAAATTATCTTCTGAACAAATTACATGTTTTGTCCGTTTCAAATGTTGAAATGGTCGTTCTACCTCACGACCTATCCAGGCATGATAACAAAATCATCACATTTTGTTTAAAGTGTTTTGTAAAGGTTTTCCAAGCGAACAAATCGCATTAATCCCGGTGGCAAGGGGAGATAATCAGCTTCTTGGAGAAGACGAACTCCCAGTATCTCACGGATATTGAAACAACACAAGGCCTGAAGCGTTCTTGGATTTGAGACATAGTACTGTAAGTGTCTCTGTATGGAGTCAGCAGTGTCTCCAGTAAACCTGTCACTGACTATATCCACTGCCGCCTGTGTGACAGGGTGACCCGCCGAAACAAGCAGCTGCAGCCATGCTTGAGTGCTCTCGCTTGGCGTAGTTCTTTCCAAACCCATCTCAAGTGGAGAAGTTTCTTTGTCATTTGGATAGACAAGCGGCAGATTAATTTCAATCAGCAGCTTTATTAGACTGATATTAATCCTCATCCACAAATCAGCACATACTTCACTGAAGTGTATTCCATGATCGTAGAGTATCCTAGCCTTGTCGAGTCTTCCAATGACTGCTGCCTTGTAGAACAAGCATCTAGAACGAACTTTCACATTTACATCCCCGCCAGATTTAATCAGCAGCTTGAACGTTTCAAGGCTGTGGAATTTGCCTACCGACATGTACAGAGGGGTCAAACCAGAAGTGTCAGCTTGATTCACATCAGCACCACGGGAAATAAGGTACCGCGCAACGTCCTTGCTGTGACGATGTACTGCCCAAAGCAATGGCGTCTTGCCTTTACTATCCGGCGAGTTGATCGAAACTCCGTGATAATCTACCAACCTTCGGACGATATTTACATTGCCTTGACAAGCGGCAATGTGAATAGGTTTCAGACGTATAACGTTACCTCTTTCGTCGTTTGAGGCAAACCGATCGGGGTCAAACCCCGATAACAGCAAAAAGTTAAAAATTGCATCGTCCCCGATCTCGGCTGCAGTGCAGATTGGGTCCGGTAGTGATGGTGGGAAACTTTTGATGGCTTGGAGTTTCCCAGGGATGGAGTCAATCAACTTCTGCACCGAATTCAAATCTCTACTTTTGATACAGTCTATAAGCGTCTCGTACACATGGCAATCGCGAGCAGCTGTCATATTTCATGGATCTGTACAATGCGCTTGGAATACTAAGGTCTGTCTGTGCATGCATCTGAAATGATAGAAACAAGCAAAGCTGAGTAAAGAGTGTGACCGTTGTTTAACTGAGGGCACATGAACATGGCAGCGCTCATGGCTCTTCCCAGAGTGCGTCAATGAGTGTGGTCAAGTCACATTTAACGCAGAGGCAACAATGGCCGACTGCATGAGTATGGAGTGGACGAGCGAGGAATTAGTTATGTTGGTGTGTCTACCTGACATTGGGGTATTGGGAGGCGGGACCATGGCATGCAGCTCTTGACAACAACTTCCAACGAGCACTTATGCATTGTTGACAGAAATAGGCTTAACCGAGTTTCTCATACACCGAGGAGATCATGCGAGATCAGTATGCCCTGTTTATCTAAAATCGATAAGAATATCCTTATAACGAGGTAGAATGCAACAAATACCCTTTGAAAGCAACAGATGAATCTAGGTTCTAGTGCGTCCCAGGCAAAGGGGAACTGAGCAGATCGGTGTCTGAGGCTGGATGACTTAGTTAATTACGTGTCACCGAACAACATAGGCGTGATTGAAGCTTATAATATCGATCATTGGATTGTCTCGTGAAGACTCGACTACTTAAAGGTCAAAGTCATTCAGCTGGAGTATTGTTGAATGTGGTGCAAAACAATAAACAAACAAATACAGTACAACCAGAAATTATTGAGAATTTAAAGATTGTATTTCTTTATATCTTTTTCACGTATTACTCACGTATTAAATGTGAATATTAGCAGAATATAATTCCAGATTCAAAGACAGGTGAACAGTTAGTATTTTGTCAAGTCACCATGGGCAGCAATGCAGGCTTCAATGAGGAGAGGCATATGAACAAAGAAGTTAGAAAGTCGTGGTCCATGCTGTCCCAATATCGGACCACCTCTTCTTTCTGTTCAGCAATATTTGTCAGATTCTTCTTATTGACACTTTCCTTCCTAAGTCCCCTATTGGATTTAGGTCAGGGATATAGCTTGGCTAATCTAATAATGTCATATTTTGGGTCCGAAACCAGGCCTGTGAATGCTTTGAACGATGTTTTGGGTCGTTGTCCTGCTGGAAAATCCAAATATTTCCATAGAACACGTGAGCAGATGGAAGTAAATGTCCCTCGAGAATATCTGTGTACCGCTCACTGTTCATATTCCCTTCAAATACACAGAGGGGCGTTGCCCCTAACACAGATATGCCACCCCACACGTTAAATTTCGGACTGTACTTTGGGCGCTGATACAAAGGTTTTTCAGTTTGTTTGGTCCAGAATTTCAGTGTATTAGGAAACAGCCACACAGAACCTTCATCTGAGAAAATCACATTGTCCCAGTTAAAATTTCTATGCTGTAAGCACCAGTTCAACCTTCGCTCCTTTTGTTCAGGTTTCATGATCGGTGATGGAATTCCTCGACTTTTCTGCCAGCCCATTGCATGTAGCTCAGTTCTAATTGTCTCCTTACAGACAGCCACATTTCCTCTATCAATCATATCCAGCCTTAAGTTTTCTAAACTCCTTCGTTTGTTTTTAGAAACAAGAATACCAAGCCGCCTCCTGTCACCGACAGTCAATTTTCTGGGCCTACCTGCGCCTCCCTGGCGCTCAATGTCATATCCATTTGCAATATTTTTCAAAACACGATAAACAGTGGACAAAGGGATGCCTGTTCTACTTGAAATCACTTTAGCTGATCTGATGCCTTTGTTATAATACTCTAAAACTTGCTGGTTGACGTCTGCTCCAGCGTCCAAGAGCTGTCGGGCGATTTCTGTATGATCTACTAATGCAGCTATGAACAATGACGTTTTACTCCGATATCTTTCATCACATAATGTACACGCGCCCCTTTGACAACAAATAGGCCACAATGTCGCTATGTTCCAAATACACAGACCATATATATTACTGGAGTTCGCCCTTCCTCATCTTCACAGAAAGATCAAATTCAACTGTTAGTTTCTGAATGACCTTTAGATGACCTCAACACGTTGCTTGGTGGACAGAAGAACTGTAAACTCTAAATCCATGTATTAGAGAGTTGAATAAACGTAATGACACCGATAAATAGGGAGAAAGGGTCTTGAATAGCAAATCTGCGGACAGGAACTTTGTATGAAGGCCAAATAAGCATAAAATTCTGTTGACAGTTAAATCTAAATACATGCGCAATATTTCGGAAGAATTCACTGAGAGGTGGTGTCTTTGTTTTGCATTTCGGAAAATAATTCCAGCAGTTTAGGATTTTAATGGCGCTTCGTTCGATATAGTCCAAACAAGGGGGTCGTGTATGTGCAAAACACACACATGATCACGAACAAAGGACATAGGTTACAAACTACAGATGCGATAATCAGCAGATACACGTTCTATCCACAGACCACGACACCATATTAGATAATGTCAAGAAATAAACAAGAATAATCGAGCCACTGTCGGGAATGGGGTGACAAGGATTGGAAATGGTTGACATTGGGCGCAGTAGGGAATAGTCTGAACGGAGCTTAGATATTCTCACCTGTGTCTGTCTATGATAGCTATTAAATCCAAATTACACAAACCGTGTTGTGTCAAAAACAACAATACCTGTTTTTTTATCACGGTAAACAGCCCATACGGAAATGTCGCAATATCATCGCGCGAAGCAATAATCAAGGGAAGTAACTGCGTTGTCGTGATCACGACGTCGATGTATTTCTGTTGAAAAGCATTCTTGGGTTGTCTGTGTTGTTTGAACTGTATTATATTATCATGTATTATGACGTGTATTTTGTTATAAGAAACGAAACAAGTTGATGTAACGTTTCAGTGTTGAGAAAATTAAGTTTCGTAACTTTCACGATCCATCTTTTTGTTCGTCTCGGATGGAATTTCCCGTACAACTTTGGCAACACCCGTCCCAGCGCCGTTTTCAAAACATTTGCAACGTGAACGCATGAAATGTCGTTGATGGTTAATGCATGATCGCAATGCGGGACACGTCAAATTCAGTAGCATTTGTCAGAATTGACTAATGTTTTATTGTAGCTGTGATGGCGTATGTAGTGTTCCTTGCGAACATATCAGGTAGGTGCAGATGTCACTATTGAGTATTGTCAGGGACACATGACACAACACAGGTAGTAGTCGTGGTGGAACTTGGAAGTGTTAAGGAAGTGTCGGTAAATAATTATTGACGCGGTGGTCATCCCCCGGTTTACCACGGCAGTTCGTATTTACAGATGTCAGTGGTGTCATTATGACGAAACTCTTGAGACTTGCGACTTGGTACTTGGGTAGTGTTGAGTCTGATCTGTATTGTCACATCCCAGCCTACCTAAGATACATAGCGTTCACTGACATGAACTTGTCAGTGAACGCTATGTATCGTAGCTAATCCCAGCCCAACATACATGATAATTGATATGTGATAATTAATTCTGTGTGTTAATTACTATTTCTATTTCCTAACATGCGTTTTGTGTATTTCTGCCTAAGGCAGTACACACAATAAACATGACTGTATATATTTCAGATCCTGAAGCTGCCGATACTATTAACCAATGTCTTGAACATTTTGTGAAGAAACAGAATAAAGGTGAAAAATGTCTAAATTCACCACTTGTTCAAGTATTGTGCACAGACAACCTGTTCAAGACAGCACAGGTACATACAGACAGTTATCTTGTTATTCATGGTTCACAGTGGTTAAGACATTGTAATATATATGACATTGAAAGTGTTAATTTTGATGTTGGTATCCGAGCAGGTGATCAGTAACTTGGCAAGAACTTTATGTATAGATGACCTCCCATTCTGTTTGATAAAGGAAGGGGTATCTGTACGTAATGTTGCAAGAAGTCATTCACTGTTCATTAAAACAATAACCTGTTAAATTCAAGTTCAACATAGATCTTTCTTTTATCATTAATATGAATATGTATTTTCTGATTTGATTATTTGTGACCTGTACTGACTGAGTTTGGTTTTATGCCGCTTTTAGCAATATTCCAGCAACATCACGGCGGGGGACACCAGAAATGGGCTTCACACATTGTACCCATGTAGAGTTTGTTATAATTGTTACAGCAGTTCAGTGCTGTATGTGTACTCATGGCTTGTTCAGTATACCTGCCAGCCTACACAGTGTGAGCATTAGATGTGCTTCAACAAGAGTACCATGGCACAGAAGCCCACTTCTCAATAATTTCAAATTGAAGGGATGAGGTTGTGTACGTAATTTTGCATTAAAACTTAATATCCTACAATTGCATGCAATAGTATTGTTTTCGATTTTTGCATTATGAAAACAGTTTGTAAAGTATTGTAATATTGAATGACGTCATGCAAGTTATACAGAAACAAGAACAAACACCACAAAGTCATATTTTCCTGATGTCAAGAGGACTTTTTCTATTCTTATTGGTTGTGATGCTTTAACATTTGGACTATCTATATCATGATGTAAATAATAATGAGAATATTTATAACGCGCCTTTTCCAGGCTAGATATCCTGCTCAAAGCTCACATTAACATCATTATTACCCCGGATAACCCAAGCTGCCTGTTAGGTGCTAGAAGGTTAATAGTCTCACGACTTATTTCACCGGGGTACCCATTTCCTGCTGGGTGAACAGAGGGAATTGTGATTAAACTCACTTGCCTAAGGTGAGACCACATGTATCACATGTGCTTTGTTGTGGGTCAGGACTGAAGTCTCAGGAGTTAAGGTGCCAAACACGGTCACCCATCCAAGGGCTGCCCGAGCCTGACGTTGCTTAACTTCAACTGATTTGTGACCTGAGCGCTATGCACAGGACCACGTGCCAGCACATGCCTAACTGTAAGACAACAGTGGACATAATGAAGGAGACGTTGGTTGCCCAGTTGTCTGGAGGGTTGCTGGTTGCTTTGCAGAATATACTGTTACAGCTTCCATTTGAATTGTTCCTACTGACAAGTTGATTTCACTTTTGCTGGATGCATGTAGAATAAATGATAACATGATATTAACATCTTTAGCACATGTTGTAGTAGACTCACTGATGACTTGTCTTACAAATTGACAATGATATTGTTAAGGTCATGACAACCACGACACATCCCAGCAGTCAATGTGTGTTACTCACTGTACTTGTACATGACTGCCTTGCAGGAACACAATGGATGCTGGACCTCTCCTAGGGATGTGGATCTGGACCAGTACAAGAAGGAGGTGTCAGTTGATGAGAAAGAGGAAAGAGACAGGTCAGTGATCGTGTGACCTACCAGAGTCAAATCATTTGTTCTTGCCATGCGGCCATAATAGTCCAGCTGGACTTCATTGAAACTCATTATTAGTGGTGTGACGATTCATCGATACGCATGGATGCATCGATCCATGGGCTACCGATACAGTGAATAGATACAAAGTTTTACCGGTACATTGTTGTATATCCCGATCCAATACTTCAAATGGGCCACGCGATACATCGATGTTTAACTTTGAATATTGCTGGATCGCTGATATCTGTCAAGAAAGACTTACTTTTGTTTGATGATTAAATATATGCATACTTATTTTTCCTTCATAAGTTTCTCGGAAATTCTTGCATCAGGAACTGTGTCAAATAGAGCTACGAATTTTATCAACATTCACAAAGTCCTAGAGAATGCTTAGGAAGATATGACAGGAGTAACCTCTGTGGGAAGAGAATGACAAAGTCCATGTATAAACTTAATTATGTCAGTTCGAACGAACATTGAAAAAAGCTGGCTTGAATTTGTGAAATACTTTAAAATGGTTTTGTTTTTATCTTAAGGTGTTTTATAGTTGGTGTTAGAATTAAAGATTTTAGTATCGCGTGATAATGTATCGCATCGCCACCCTCAAAGCATTATCAGGATTTGTATCATGTATCGCAGCTTCAGTGAACTACACTTTGGCAATATATCGTAGTGACTAAAATTTTAGTATCTTGATGTATCGTATCGCAGGTTGTATGCCAATACCAGCACTACTCATTATGTTCATTTTTGCACTGTTTTTATTTACAGTGGGTTTGATATCATTGCATACCCATGTTGGAATCTGAAGCAGCATAAAGAGCTGATGTTGATTTCCTCAGTTATTTACACCTCCCCTGTGGTTTGGTGGATATTGTGTCTGTGTCTGCCTGGAGCCATGAAGTTTTCCCACATGTCTAGGACTAGCAAACCTAGTTTTCCCACATGTCTAGGACTAGGAAACCTACTTTTTCTACATGTCTAGGACTAGGAAAAGCTAGGTTTTCCATGTCTTGGACGATCAATTAAAAAAAGGCCCTATTTCAAACACGAAATACATGCGTTGAGAAGTGATAGTCATAGGATCTACGGGATAACCTTAAACAAAATATCCTTGTCCCACATGGACAAAGCGATGGATTGCTGGTGATGGTGTCACGACATGGCTATCAACACTGTAGACCTCCAATGATGTCTCTAGAGACACACCACCCTCCATTTTAAACCTGTACGGTGAATTAGCCCCAAATCATGCTCTCTTTACATTGCTGCCAGGTTTGTGAATTCTGCTTCCAACAATTACCACAATCAGTGAAGTAATGCCCTGTATTTCGAAGTTTAATCATCGTCAGATGTGCCCTAATTTTCAGGTGTGCAGAAGAGAGCAGTTTGTCCCACAGACTGCTCCAGGTGTCCGACTCACTACCATACGCTGGTATGTATAGTCACCATGCTTCATGTTTCCATATAACAGTGATACTGTATTTCCACCTCTGGATTGTTGTATCAACTAAAGGGTAAATGTCCCTAGCCTTGAGTGAACCTCAGCCAAAGACAGAATAACACGCTGAGATTGCCTCGTCACTAAATACATGCAGAAACCAACATCATAAGGAATGCTATATGATGATGGTGAATCATTACGTAGAGGTGCAACATATTTTATTGTGGGACAGGATACATTCTGCAGGTTTTTTGTTAGTATTCTGTTACAGAATATTCTAAACCTTCATGGGCTATTACTAATTCTTTCCCGCAAGACTACGCAGACATCTACCTCCCTCTGTAGTTCACTGGAATGTTGCAGGTGTGGGTGTCCATGTTGTGTTGGTGAGACCTACTCTCCAGGAGGAGCCAAATGCAGCTGAATGGTAAACTTTTTGTTTTCGTGTCTGAGATTCTGATACCTTTTCAGAATATATAGTCCTGCTAACCTGCCCTAACTCAAGATTCCGACGCCAACCAAATGTCAAGTGACCACTCTTCTATTTGGGATTACACTTTCTCAGTAAAGTACACATGCTAGTCCTTTTGTTGGGTTGAATCCCATCTCGGATTCGAACCCAAGCCTTCAGTCAGAGTCGGGCAACTTATCCACACTCTCCGAGTGAAAGTGTAATCCCAGAGAAAGTGAGAGAAAGTGTTATCCCCATTATAACATCTTACATCTGACCACTTTGTAAATGGTAATTTGTTTTCATAGCTTTCAGCCGTGGGGGCCATGCCAATTTACACTTATGAGACGGGTACACAAAGTCTGTTGTCTAGACTACCAGCTGTACGACTTCCATTTAGGGGGAAATCTGCGGTGGCTGAGTGGGTTAGACAGCTGACTTTTTTGTGCTGGCAACTAGGTGCCTAACTCTTGGGGTGTGGATCCCAATCTCGGATGGGACTCAACCCAACGAAAGTACCTAGAATATGTACTTTACTGAGAAAGTGTAATCCCAAATATAACATATGTTACAAATGTGGTCACTTTCTAAATGGCATTGTGTATTTGTGACCACACTTACCGGTACACTGTGGATAGTTGCCTCGCTTGCTTAAAGATCTGCTGACCATGTGTTTGAATTCCTCATTCCACGTTATCTTGACTGTAGGTCAATCCTTACCCTCATGTAATCTGCTTTACAGATAGAAGGCTGTAGTATCATCTACCCAGTCAGTCAGTCAGTCTATTTAGTTAAAGGCATCTTTTGTCAGAGAACCTGTGCAGATATATAGTTTCTGCCTTTATTGTTTAAAAACATCCTCACAGTGTGTTACCTTAACCAGAGATCTGTTATATGGTCTCTGGCTTAACCTAGAAAGATTCCAGTAAGTGATTCATTACATTTGTTTTGCTGCAGTTACCTCCCTTTGTATGGTGCTCTGAAGAAGCTGTCCTGTTGGCACAATGCCGAAATCACAGTCATCAGAGACAGTGTGCCACAGTCACTGCAGGCCCTGGGGGACTTTACAGGTGCTTCCTTCACCTCCCAAATCTCCAGCATATCGTGGGAGGATGACCGTGTGTGGCGGGGAAAGGTCGCTGTCATGAACAAAGTGGTGAGTCATCATGTGCTGTTGGATGATGCAAGCAGGCCAGTGTTCACAAGCCCACAGTATCATCTCATCAAGACATACAACCTTCCCTCCCTGCTCTATTTGAAGCATATCTGTCATCCCTTTAAGTGACAACCAGCACAAAACTACAGAATATGTAGATACATTCTGAATAGAAAAATGCCAGACATTAAGCAGTCTCCATAAAGAATGGATCATAATGATCGTGACACATTTTCAGTGGAACCAATGACATCAACAAATGCAGTGCACACATGTTCAGTGTATTGCAATCAACAATGACAATGTGTCATGTTTTAATCATTACGAATGCACACTTTATAGAGATTGTGTCATGTTTGTTAGTTTTGTGTAATTTTCTAGAAAAGTATCTGCATCTTCCATAGTTTGGTTGCTCCATGCTGGTTTTCATTGGTAGGCCCAGGTAAGAAACAATACAACCAAACCACTGCCAATTAATGCACTTGTTTTTGATGACTTGTTTGAGGGTCTTTTCATTATTATAACGTGGTTTATAATTTAAGAAATAAAAGGTAATAATCTCTATGTGTTCCCTTTCAGGAAGGTCAAGGTCATGTGTTCCCTGGGTTTCAACTCCAGTGTGATCGGGATGACCTAGAGGCCTTCCTTGAGCGACTGAGGAAGTTGACCAACAGACACCAAGTAGGTTGCTATGTGTAATGAAGCTATAAAGCATACTCTGTTTATGGGACAACTATGATATATTTTGGTAGTGATCACCGAAAGCAAGATTTACTCGGCACTGGTCTCCGAAATGAATAACTTAGTCACATCTCCAGTTTCTGTGATGAGAAATTATTGTGAAATACAGATTCTAAATTGTCTGAAATCTCATATAATAATACGAAATGAATCTTATAGAAGATAACTGCATCTTTTGCAGCTCTTGCAAAGGAAATGCACTAAAACATGAAAAACCGGTCATAGGAGGACGTGTTCATCTGTCACTGAAGGGACTGCTGAGTTTATGCATGTGAATTGTAACACAGGTTGAGGCCTAGACTGAGAATCACATCTGTGGCCTTATGCACACTGAATAATACAAGTGGGTAGCATCTGTATGCAAAGTTACGGAGTTGATTTTCTGGGAGATATTTGTGACTTCTATCTGCAGTAAAGAATTACTAACAATGGGCATACTGTACCACTATATCTACACATCATTGCACATGGCAGGTGATGTGTGTACTGTAGCTGTGATTGTTGTTGCAGCTTGAACAGACAGGTGTTCCAGTGATGGGGAGGATGTTGGAGGTCCTGGACCAGGTGGATGCAAGGACGCTGCCATCTTTCATGTTGACACAGTACACACTGAGGCTGTATCCTTGATGAGAACAAGATGTCACATGTTATCAGCAGTTTATGGGTGATGGGGAAATGTGTTATGTGACTCACTTGGCAGTTCTAAACATACAGGAGAATGTCTAAAAGATATTTTGCATGTTCTTTTTCTTTGCTTAAGAATACATTGCGTTTGGTTGGCTTAGGAACATACGACCCAGCCCACTTGTGAAGTACTGTTTCCTGATTGGCTGAAAATATAATGGGTGTGACTTGTGAGGAGATGATCATAGTGACCTGTGGAATGTCCAGTTTAGGGGATGGACATTTGGTACCACGGAACGTTTATTGCGGCACAGTAAGATGATCATTTATGCAGTGCATGTGAACAGATAGAATGGTAGTGAGATACATGACCCATGCTTGTAACCCATGCTTGTCGTAAGAGGCGACAAACAGGAGGATCAGGTGGTCAGGCTCGCGGACTTGGTTGACATGTTTCGTATCCCAGTTGGGGCGGTGGGGTAGCCTAGTGGTTAAAGTGTTGGCTCGTCACGCTGAAGACCCGAGTTTGAATCCCCACATGGGTACTATGCGTGAAGCCCATTTCTGGTGTCCCCCGACGTGATGTTGCTGGAATATTGCTAAAGCAGCGTAAAACCAAACTCAGTCAGTCAGTCGTATCCCAGTTGCATTGATCGATGCTCATGATGTTGATCACTGGATTGTCTGGTCCAGACTGATTGTGGTGTTAAACAACAAACAAACAATAACAAAATTCTGGTGCCAGAGTATGTTGGTTTCAATGGCTTGAAGACCTTTGTTCACACAAGCAGATTATAATTGTATATACATGTATTGGGATGGGTACAGTCACCATTACAGTGTTTGTCAGCTGCTCCATTAGTTTACAAGGGCTGTGTGTGGAACGTCAGTGATGCCTGTGTTTGAGCCAGTAGAAACTGTTACATCCTTATGAGACCCAGATCTGTGTGGAAGCCGCACCACCTGTCGCTGGAACTCGTACAGGAACTCCTAGAGCAGGAACAGGTGTGATGATCTTCTGTATACTGAACCAAGAAATATGCAGCAGTCCTTCAGTTCCCTGCATACATGTTATTTTCTGTAGAAATAATACACAGATAGTTTTATCCTTCAGTTCCCTGCATGCATGTTATTTTCTGTAGAAATAATACACAGATAGTTTTATCCTTCAGTTCCCTGCATGCATGTTATTTTCTGTAGAAATAATACACAGATAGTTTTATCCTTCAGTTCCCTGCATGCATGTTATTTTCTGTAGAAATAATACACAGATAGTTTTATCCTTCAGTTCCCTGCATGCATGTTATTTTCTGTAGAAATAATACACAGATAGTTTTATCCTTCAGTTCCCTGCATGCATGTTATTTTCTGTAGAAATAATACACAGATAGTTTTGTAGCACAGTGTGTTTTGGTTTGTTGCCAGAAGAGGGTTATTCTGGATTTATTGCCATGCATTTCAGAATGCTTCAGTATGTGATCATATGTCTCTAAACTATAAAGTTAGATGCGGAAACTTTAATCTAGCAATAGAGACTGGGAGATATGAAAATATTGCTTCTAATGAAAGATTTTGTTTATTTTGTAAATCCAAAGGTATTAATGTTGTTGAAGATGAGTGGCATATTTTGTATATTTGTGAATGTTTCTCTGATATTCGAGGGAAATATATTGGGAAATATTTAAGTTAGCCGCCAACGATAAACAACTTTATCCATATTATGCAATCTGCAAATGTCGATATGATTAAGAATGTTTCTTTATTCTTATATAATGTACAAATTAGAATGAAGAGCAGGATATTTTTATAAATCATTGTGTACCATTCATGTGATGTGTGATCACGCATTTGACAGTATTATGGGCCAGTGGCCTTTTACTGAATAAAACTGTCTGTCTGTCTAAACTATAAAGCTAGGGCTTTTCATATCTTTAAATGAAAGTTTGTTTTCCTCCTTATATTTGAGTAGGATTAGTTTGGTTCTGAAACAAAGAATATCTTGGTGTCTTGTGTTTCTAATCTAATCAAAATCAATTACCATGGCTACAATATCCTACACATTTCTGACAAATTTGGGAATTACAATTTACAAAATTACAAAAACGTCATATGTGGGTGTTGTCCAGTCATCTGAGGCAAGCCAGGAACTGCTTATCATAGGCTTCATTACAAATGTCATTCTATACTTTGCTTTGTTACTTGCACAAATGTGCTAAGACACTGTTTACAGTTGTTATACCCTGGTCATGTCTGTTCAACAGACTGCAGTGATCTGCCGCCTGGCCGTGTACGACTCGGGGTCGGTGGTCGACTGTACCCAGAAACTGAGTGCCCAGGCCTGGAGGGAGAGTGTCATGGCAAATGTGGACTATGTCATAGGTCAGATATACCCAACAGTCAATCAATTACATCATCTAGGTCATAGCTTGAGTGCTACAAACTTTCTGGATCTGATATTCAAGTTATTTTACTTTCTGTCTTAAAATACCAATGAGTAATAGATAAAGTAACACGTGCGTAACTTCCAACTACAAACTGTCTGTCTCCCTTGACATTCAGTGGAGACAACTTGTAACTCACTGGTTGAAGGATGGTAATTAACGGAAAAAACAAACACAAAACCACAGGCCAGTGGGGTTCGATTCTGCTAGCTATCCAAATTGTTACTGGTCCTTGTAAATACAGACTTGTGTAATCAAAGTTTTATCAGCCGGAGGTCCTCTCTGTGGTCATTGTTTGTCACATGTTCTCTAGACCTCTAGCTGACATCAAACCTGTGAACCATTATGTCAGCAGTGGCCGAATCATTGCATTTGGAAATTTGTAGAATATTTTGGAAGTATTGGCTTTGAAAGGGGAAATGTGTAGGTATAAACAATGTGAATTCTTCTTAAATCCTACTGCCTTGTCAGATGACAGGTCTGGAAGTGTTTACAATATACTATTACATTATTGCTGGTTATTTCACTAACCTGGTTGGTCTTCCCTGGTAATTTGTACTGACACTGGACAGGATGTGTCAAGCCAGGTATTTATGTGTATGTTTATATTACTTTGCTAATGAGATGTCACTTTGTGTTTTGAACTGCTTCAAAGTTTCACTGCATAAGGGATAAGGACTGATTAAAAGCAGATATTGGTGAGATCATCTGTCAACTGATTTGGTATTCAAACTGTTCGTCTGTCATGCTGAAAGTCTGGGTTCAGTTCCATACACGGATGCAGTGATTTGTGATGCCCTGTCATGATATTCGAATCCAAAGTGGCATAAAACAGCGTTCACTTGTTTGCCTCTTTCTTCTCCTAGAACAAGAGGAAGACCTGTTGACTCCTGCCCACTTCCTCCATGTCGTGTTGAGGAGAGATGAGTCCTCCTCATCTGCAGACCACCTCACTGCTGTCGTCCTGCGTGACAGTTCGGAAATAAACTCAAACTTGTTCCGCATCGACTCGGGCCTGTACAGCGGTGTGTGTTGTGGGAGCTCCAGTGAGGGGCCCAGTGACAGCATGGAGACGTACCTGAGTAGCCTACCTCACATGACTGGGGAACTCGTCGACCAGATCAACACGAGTCTTGTCCACATGCAGACACACATGCTACAGGACTGGGTCGGTAAGGGAACCAGCAATACATGGATCAGAGGACAAACTAGGATTACATGGGTTATAGGACAAGCTAGGATCACATGGGTTATAGGACAAGCTATGATCACATGGGTTATAGGACAAGCTAGGATTACGTGGGTTATAGGACAAGCTAGGATCACATGGGTTAGAGGACAGTCTTGTGTCAGCATGTGCAGTACATGGATTATAATAGGACAAGCTAATATCATGTTGGTTGTAGGACACTTTAATGTCAGAGCACTCGCAAGTCATGGGTTAGAGGACAATCTGGTATGAAAGTATTGATAATATATATGGTTGAAAGGTGAAGGTATATCAACATGTTCGCAATACATGGGTTAGAGGACAATCTGGTATGAAAGTACTGATAATATGTATGGTTGAAAGGTGAAGGTATATCAACATGTTCGCAATACATGGGTTAGAGGACAATCTGGTATGAAAGTATTGATAATATATATGGTTGAAAGGTGAAGGTATATCAACATGTTCGCAATACATGGGTTAGAGGACAATCTGGTATGAAAGTACTGATAATATGTATGGTTGAAAGGTGAAGGTATATCAACATGTTCGCAATACATGGAATAGAGGACAATCTGGTATGAAAGTACTGATAATATATATGGTTGAAAGGTGAAGGTATATCAACATGTTCGCAATACATGGAATAGAGGACAATCTGGTATGAAAGTACTGATAATATGTATGGTTGAAAGGTGAAGGTATATCAACATGTTCGCATGACATGGGTTAGAGGACAATCTGGTATGAATGTACTGATAATATATATGGTTGAAAGGTGAAGGTATATCAACATACTTGTATGGGTTATAGGTTCAGCTAGTTCAATCAGACAGCGTGTGTATGTTGCGTGGTTGTTAGTCCTGTTCATATTCCTGTATTATTGGTAAAGATTTCATACAAAATAAGTAACGGTGTCCAGTTTTTCAATACAGACATGATAAAGGAGGTTGTAGAGGCAGAAATATTTGTCCCCTGGACACTGCAGTGTTTCACAGAGAACCCTTTCTCCCACCAGCTGAACTAGAGCAGAGTGGGGAACCAACGGTGATGTCAGTGGAGATGCTGTACAAGTTCCTGGGGCAGATTCAGCAGAACTTCCTGGATCAGCTGCTCCAGGACGGGGTGTTCCAGGAGGCAGTGAGGAGAGCTGAAGAATCAGATGCCATTCCCACTCTCGAACCAGGTCAGCGGAAACAATCTTACAATTAAGTTGTGAACTTCAGAACTTTCTGGACCCAGGATGTTATTGATATATGACCAAATTATGTCTGGCTGAACAACCTTGAAAGTGTGTACTTGGTGATATATATCAGGCCATGAAGCTGTATATTAGTCAGTATATGCAGGGGTGGAAATAACACATTGCCCAACGCCCGAGTCCAGTGTTTTTTTCTGTCAGGCAAGCAAATTTGTATATCACACTGTACCGGTGTCGAGTTGATATTCCAATGTTAATTATGTTGTTTATTTAAAAAATCAACAAGAAAACGGCCGGTATAGTGGAAAAATTATCAGGGCAAGTGATTTTACATGTGCCACTGTGCTGGAATACACTAGCAATTTTAAAGTTATTTCCACCCCTGATATGACATAAATAATTCAACAGTTATAGAAAACATGGAATAGCTTCTTTGGTGAGTGTTCAGACTTGGTAGGCTGGGTTTGAATTGAGGATCTTTGTTTAACAAACAATCAAAGACGAAGACTTAGTTATCATGGCTGATGGATGAGTCACTGAATGCTGACATGTTTTAAATGTAAGACAGGCTTAGTGACCACACAAGTGTTGTCATATCCAAGCAACAATTGTTATTGCGCCAATGTTTACCCTACGTATGGACTGACACAGATGTTGACATGGATCCCCTTGACTGGCTGGAGAGGAAAGCTGTGCAACACAAGGACACACAGAAGCGAGAGATGCGGCGCTACCAGTCTTCAGAGAGTGCCTGTCTCTCCTCCCCACCACATGATGATGGTGCGTACTAGCATCTCTCACAGAACACCTGGCACTGTAGATGATTTAATTGTGAAGAATGTTGTATTCATGGATAGATAAGACACCCTGAAACACATAATAACATAGTGAATCTTGTCCCTTTGCTGAAATCTGCTGAAAGATTTACAGGGTGAACAAAACATGCAATATTACAATAAATGTTAAGTTGGCCAATCAGCGTATTGAGCTTCTTGCAGAGGCCCAAATAAGCTGCGTATCCGGGTAAAATACGCATAAAAAATTTCCAATTACGCATTGAAAATTAATTGTTGCGTACCAATTACTCATTTAAAATGTTAGATATGCAAAAAGTTTAAAATAAATGCGTGCGGAATATATTTCTAAAAATCGCTTGCGTAATGAAAAAGACATCGATTGCTATCAAGTTGTACTGTTAGTATAGGACAAGTGTTGTACTGTCAGTATAGGATGAGTGATTTTTTTATGAAATCATTTCCATTATATTTAAGTTGGTTTTGATTAGGTATGACATAAGGCAGGACATACTTGCTTAGTAAACTTACTCAATGACATTATATACTTAGGTGAGTAAAATGACTGAAATACGCACATATTTGAAAGCAGATGGTAACGGAAATTGAAATACCCACTCAACATTCATAATACCCACTCCAAAAAAATACAGTGGATACAGTACCCACATGAGCTAAATCTTATCTGGAGCTCTGTTCTTGGCATAGGGCAATTAGAGAATGACACGGAGGTACAGATACAATGTTATATTTTACTGGTAAAACTAAATGAACTGGCAACTAATTATTTATAATCAATGAGTGTAAAATATTATGACTTGTTTTAAAAAGGAATGCAGATAAAAAAACTAAATTTTTCCTTATCCTGACTCATGCTCTTTTGCTTGTCTCCTTCCTCTTGCGAACATAGTGGAACACTTGTATCTCCCTAATTGAAGTTCCCTTCAATGTAAAATCACTAATTAGTACACCACGAGTTACCTCCCTTCCACAAGCGCGGGAACGAGGGCGCCACCTCTACCCATGTGCCTCACTCTCTCCTTCTTCGCCCAGTGAGCTGGACGTGAGAGCGCCTGTGTCTCCCGACACACTATATCCTTTGATTATATTTAGTTAGTTACCTCGTATAGAGATCTATAGAGGTTTAGCTAGTATCTTTCAACAATTATATATTGATATTTAGTCGTGTTTCTACTGTTTATGCACGGGACGCCGTGCTGTTGCAGTGGATTACGTTGATAAAAATTCTGTACTGTTGCACATTACGTTTTTTATTCTGCTGCTGATCCGCATTTAATATGCCCTAGCTGTACTGCGCCATGTTTCATGTGATTCACGTTGCAGTTGCGATACTAATTTATCCAATTCTACCTTTAATAAATAATTACTTTGCGTTTGAGACGCGCAGCAGATAGGTCACGTATGCAGAGTCTAGCATGACTGATACACCTGAACCCCTCGCCAGTCTACTGCTGTTGGTCGACCCCCCTCCCGTCTGGGTTTCCGCTAGAATGGTGGAGAGGCGTGGGACGTAGTCCGCCGCCTCCAAGAAGCGTCCTGCTTCCCCAGACATCCCTTCGTCGCACTGAGGGGTATTCAACGAAGTCTACTAGAACTTTCTCAGCCGAGATTGTTCTCATCGCAGATTTGGGCCTGTATGATGATCAGCCGATCATCATTCCTGATGTACATCAAAGAATGACTGATGTCGGCAACAGTGATGTCAGCGCAGATCAACATTCGATGATCTTCCTGAGGGTCCCGTCGCTACCAACACTCAACGCAGACTTCGCACCCCCAGGGCAGCGTCGACCTCTGAGGGGAATTCAACGAAGTCTACTAGGACTTTCTCAACCGAGATTGTTCCAGCCGCTGAACTTGGCCTCTACGATGATCAGCCGATCATCATCCTCGACGTATGAGACAAGTAGCGACCGGTGACAGCTACAATGACATCAGCAGAGATCGTCATGCAGCCTGATGTCTCTACACTGATGTCAGACGACTTACCTGAGGGCCCCACCACTAACAGCGCAGAGATGGCACCGACTACTTCGTCGCAGACCATCCCAGACGAGCTACTACGGCAAATCATGGTCGTGATGGAGGGTCACTACAGACTGGAGAAGCAGCCAGCCCAGAGTACGAGCCTTCGCGAAGGCTCCAACTTAGACAACACTCTAGAGGCACCTCCAGTCAACGTAGCAGCCAAGACGATGCAGCCTTCGCGAAGGAAGTCGCAGACCACCTTGACGAAGGACCCAGATGTACAGCCTTCGCGAAGGCCTTCGCGAAGGCGGGATAGATCATCACATTCCTCGGCTTCATCCTTAGATGCAGACTCAGCCACCAGACCTCACGGAAGCCTTCGCGAAGCTCAAATCGCCGTTCCCCAGCACCGAACGCAGAGGAAGCTTCGCGAAGGCGTTCGCGAAGGCGTTCGTGAAGGCGTTCGCGAAGGCATTCGCGAAGGCACTCGGGAAGGACACCCGAATATAGATCGTCATTTAACAGAGTCAAGGGACTACTCAAGAGCTTCGCGAAGCTGTCAATAGTCTCCGATCTCCTCGTACATCACCACATCGATCGCCTCACAGGTTACCACACAAGTCTGCACACAAGTCTACATCACCTTCCTAGAGTGGCAGTACGACGCAGACATACCTGATGAAGGAAGACGACGCAGATGCTATCACCCTACCTCCGATCGACCCGATTGCTGCGGTAGCACAGAATCTAGACATAGCATCCCATAAAGCCACAAAAGTTCAGACACCATAATTGCCGAACTTTCACGCCTAGAAGTTTTCCACGCACAACATGGACCCCTTCTTCAAGGCTTAAGACATCGATGAAAACTACAAGTTGATCATCGATATCAACAATAAGAACTACAATCGTAAATTGGTTCAGTTGAATCCATGACGAGACGTATGTTCGTTGGCCTAAATAGATCTAGAACGATCATTGAGACACTTATCACCAGATTTCGTAACACGACTTCTGAAAATGATAAGATGATCCACTCGGCCCTACTTATGCAGAACCAGCAAGTCCCAGGCCGCCTCCGCGAAGGAGCTAGAGCCTCACCAGCTACAAGGGACGTCGCGGAGGAGTAGCGCTTCGCCGACCCCACATCCTGTTAAACACAGAGGCCATTCGCGAAGCAAGCGCTCTTATATATATTATATATATATATATATATATATATATATATTCTAATCGGACTTTGACTCGATACCTTCGCGAAGGTCGCGAAGGCTAAGTGGCTCCAAGTCTACTTCACCAGTAGATCTAGAAGGGATACTTCGAGAGCTTCGTGAAGTCTCCGGCGTTCACCGAGGAAGTCTCCTCCAAGGTCTCCATATACTAGCCACTCGTCATATATAGCTACTCCTCAGTCCGTTCAAGACATCGCATAAGTTGTCTATCAACTGTATGCCAGATGCCGTCTATAAGCCTACGCGAAGACAATTGCACAGGCTATTTACAACACAGAACGTCGCTGTATTAATTTGTCAACGACGTTTCATAGATCTTCACAGAAATCAACTATTCCGTATAAATTGCTAGTATATGCAATCCCGGACGACGATACGATTATCTACATGCGTGACCATTACGCATATCTGCAGACAATTCAATATCGAAATTGAACAGCAGCCTTGTTACAGCGAGTATAACTCATAATCGTCAACATTTCTGAGAAGAAATATGTACAACAAATTCAGCTTTAATTCTACAATTATGACGATACATTCATGTATACAGTCTACAAGCTGACAACTTACAAGTTATTGTACCTTTATATATAAAGAAGTCGGAATTATATTCAAAACTGAAGTACTTTCACGACAGCCAGGAAAATAACCTACCCAGCATTAATATTACAGAGCAAGGTATTTTGCGCCGAAGCTTTCGCGCGTTTACCATTAATCCTCGAAACACGTGGTCACTCGGGTAACTTCGGGAAGTTACGATGAAGACCGATGATTGTTCTAATATCAACGACGGCACTATATTATACAAGGTTCCTTTTCCTGCTACACCGGTGACATCACAGCGCGGGTACTCTACAGAATCAAAATGCCTTATTCTGATTGGACCCCGATGAACAACGCCCTACACAGAGGTCGAGCATAGTTCACAGTTCAAGACATAGGTTGCAAGTGACAACTTTATATCAATGAACGAGCAAGCCTCCTTACAGCCCAGTTAACCTGAACCTTCATGATTAGGCTGCTTTCTTCAGGTTAGAGACCTCCCTGTCAAGTTTAGACAAGGGCACAGCAGTCAGGCGATTTTACATAAAGTTCATCGAGGACACAAACTCCCGGTTGTGCACATACATCGTCAAGGACATCGCAACGATTTACCTAGACGACGTGATACAAGTGGATCGAAATCCACAGCGTTTCAGACTACACCTGAATTTCATCATCAAGCTACTAACACAACTAGATGGTTAGTAAACCTACTAAGTTTCTGTTTGGAGAATAAACGGAAGTTTCACGTACCAACTTGGGGATATGAATATAGTGCTACAACACCTCACAAGTGAGGTTTATGAACATGCCTGGATGACATACTTGGACTCCATGATACGATGATGCTATCACGCTGGCCAGCAAGAGCACTGTAAATTTATCTCCACCAAACCAAACAGGAAGAAAAATACAACAGATTTTTTTCCTCTATCATCAACTTACGCAGAGTGTAGTCTCACGTACTATATCTCCGTTTGGATCAGAACTGTCATACTACGTGCATACAAGACAGATGGACCTAATCCGACCCTCCATGAGCTTTAATACTCTTGATATTAGAGCCCTAACTTCTACAATTTCATCTACACAAATGTTATTTGAAATAATGGAGGGTTTATTACTGTAGATCCGATATGGTGGTTGCCAACCATTATCTGAGAGATATCACCACCGAGGACATCTCAGGTATCCACCAATTCGATCCCATGGTCCTTGCACAACAGTTGACAGTTCCTCGGAGAAGATAAGTCAATCTTACAGATTTTTACTTATCTTATAACAGTACTAAATAGCTTCATGCTATATATAATTTGCTTAAGCTCGTTTTTTATCATCACAGAGGTTACATGATAAATGCATTAGCTAACAAACTCTACAGAGTTTTTTTTGGCTATTATATATAGGTAGCTTAAGCTCATTCATATCGTAAGCACAGTACTATACTCATATTGTAAAAATATATTAGCTAACAAACTTTACTAAGTTTGGCTATTATATATGTAGCTTAAGTTAATTATATCTTAAGCACAGTACTATACTCATATTGTAAAAATATATTAGCTAACAAACTTTACTAAGTTTGGCTATTATATATGTAGCTTAAGTTAATTATATCTTAAGCACAGTACTATACTCATATTGTAAAAATATATTAGCTAACAAACTATACTAAGTTTGGCTATTATATATGTAGCTTAAGTTAATTATATCTTAAGCACAGTATTATACTCATATTGTAAAAATATATTAGCTAACAAACTCTACTAAGTTTGGCTATTATATATGTAGCTTAAGATAATTATATCTTAAGCACAATACTATACTCATATTGTAAAAATGTATTAGCTAACAAACTCTACAAAGTTTGCTGTTATATATATAGCTAAGCTTATTCATATCTTAAGCTCAGCACTGTCTATATCATATAAATATTTTAACTAACAAACCCTAAAGAGGTTTGTTATTATATAATTAGCTTAAAATTAATCATATTTTTAAGCTTAGTGCTATGTTTATATCTTAAAGTATTTTAGCTAACAAACTCTAAGGAGTTTATACTAGCATATTAACAAGCTTAAGTCTATTAGTCTTAAGCATTGTATTAATATTATATATACTTATCATAATAAGTACATTGTAATAACCTCTATATGGCAGCTGATAAGCTGGCAGCAGGAATTCATCAGTTCAATGCCTTTATGAAGTTCTCATAGGGTTATTACAATCATCACAGTTCAAATCACTAATTATTAAAATCCAAAGTATTATATATTCCCACCTCCGCTCTGTTGGATTCTACAAGCAAAAGAGCATGAGTCAGGATAAGGAAAAATATGTAATTTTTTGAGTAAAATTGATATTTTATACTTATCCTGACTCATGAGGTCAGCCCTCCCATCCTCCCCAAATAACACTTTGGATTTCCCTGTAAATTCAAATGTTGGGCTCAGTATATGAGGAGAGAGTGAGGCACATGGGTAGAGGTGGCGCCCTCGTTCCCGAGCTTGTGGAAGGGAGGTAACTCGTGGTGTACTAATTAGTGATTTTACATTGAAGGGAACTTCAATTAGGGAGATACAAGTGTTCCACTATGTTCGCAAGAGGAAGGAGACAAGCAAAAGAGCATGAGTCAGGATAAGTATAAAATATCAATTTTACTCAAAAAATTACATATTGGTTACATTTTGTCTGCTTCTTGGTTGTTAATTACACAGCTTATTTCAGGTGTGTCAACGATAGAAGTGAAGGACTTCATCAAGTTGTTTAACCCTGATGGCAGTGCTTCTATTGACAAGCTTTCACCAATCAGACAGGTATCAGTGATTATGTTTATGTATGTTTAGTCATTGATATGAAATGTGCCCTTAAATATTGCAGCTTGGCTGTTACAAATAACACTGATAGATACCAGAGGGAATGGGATGATTGTTCTTGAGAATAACTGACTTTCTGCCTTCGAAAGAAAAGATTCTTTCAAAAAGCATTAAATTTCCCAATAATTCAGATCTGAAAGCAGTTGTTTTGGGGTGAGGTTATAGTTTCAAGGCACAAGGCAATTACAAGGTGAAAATTTCAACTCCAAAAATTTCATCTATTTACAGCAGTCAAGACGCAAGCTGACAAAACTCAGTAGTCAGGGGGGAGACAACTCTGTTGTGGCCAGATTGCATGGATACACTGTATCATGGCATTGAGTAAGTAACAGTCATCTTCCTCGTTCTATGAGATCCACAGAACTTCTACCATTCAATCTAATGTTTTGTTTCTTTTGTAAGTATAACGACTGCATGTCAAACTTAAATGGGATTGATCTGCTCCTAGTCAGTATGGAGTGTCCTGGATCCATGTTGAGTTATATCTCCATGGTGTATCAGTATTAAAGCAGCATACTAGTCCAGACTAGCATATACAGACAGCAGTGTGACAGACATATCAAAGACATGCACACCCATCCATGCACATTATCTTAAAAGTGCCTTTAAACTCCACTCACCTACACCACCTTATCTGTGATTGGTTCATATAGACTTGTTTCCAATATTCTTGTAGTTACTACAAGGACAGAATATCAGAAAAGAATGAAAAACACTACTCCAGTTTACGAGAGAAGTTCATCAAGAACGAGACATGTAGTTCCTTCACGACCAAACACATCCTCACCAAGAAGAAGCCACACAAGTCAGAGTCCGGAGACAGGAAGCGGAAGTCAGGGAGTCTCATGTCGCCGTCCAGGAAGTCACCACGAGGTCCACTCACATCACTGCAGCCACTGAAGGATGAGATCAGGTGAAGATGCTGGTTTCTTGTCAGATGACTAGAGTTGTCCCCCTTAGTTTATATCTGAAAGTCAAATCCCAGAATTCCTTGGATCACGTTCTCTCATTTGTTAGCATCATACATATTCTTTTGTGTTTCATCAGTTTGGTAATTGTAATTGTCCAGGGTCCTGATCCATAGCGTTCAGAGCGCCATGACATGTGTAAGCCTATGGTAAGCTATAGAGTTACGACCTGTCGTAATGTTCCGAACGCTTAGTGGACCGGGCCCCTGTATTTCATTTTGCTCTCCTTATGCTTGATGTGACATGACAAAGTGGCATCAATCTGCTCTTCTTGTTTGTTCCTTATTTGTTGTGCCATGCTGCACTTAAACACATACCATCTGCTAGAGGCTGGACGGGGCAGCCTTGTGACAGACATCATGAGTACTGATCCATGAAATGGGACATGATGACATGCTGTCAACCATTCCACCAAGCCTGATCACCAGTTCCAATCAAACATGGCACTGGTTCTGTGCAGGATCAGTATTGTTGACACAGTCCATCTGTTACACGAATGCAGTTTTGGGATAGCTGCTGTTGACGGGCAGAATATTTGACATATTTGACAAAGTGGTTATCCACATTAAACTACATAGTAAATACATGTTGCCTCTCTTTTCCCCTGAAGAGCGTCATCCCAGCCGTCCCGACAGAAGATGCTGCTGCAGCATCCAGGGCTGAAGAGTCCACGGAAACGCCAGACCCTGCCCTCCGAGAAGCTAAGACGGTCGCCACGGAAACAACCAAGTGCTTCTTTTCAGCGCCTCAAGTCGGACAGCCATGTGCTGCCCCTGCCACCGAAGAGGAAGCGACGATCAGATCCGGATTTGCTGAACCGATCAGATGACCGAGATGATGTTTTCTCGTCACAGAGATACGATAAACCATCACATTCGAGACCTGCATCTACTGCCAGTGTTGCTGATGAGGAGAGGGCAAGGAAACAGTCACGTTCAGAGAGGCACAAAAAGGTAGTTCTTCTTGACATCTCAGTTTGCGGAGTTATCTTTGTCACTAATAATAGTTTGTATGGGGAGATAACTCTTTGTTCAACCACTATGAGAATGTTGAGATAGATTGAATGAGATTTGTACTAATATGTCAGTTTGTGAGATATGATGAATATGGATTAACATACTGTCACCCAGACTAAAAACCCTACCCTGTGATCTGTTCAGGTGCTTACTGAAGTATATAACATAGCTCACTTAAATTTACACATGTATAAAAGTATCATGATATATTTTGAGATTTTGTTACTGAAAACAAGTTCAAGTCATTGAATAACACTCAGGTCAGCTAGAGGCAAGGCACTAACTAGTTCCTTAATGTTTCTGTAATCGTTAAAGTATAGCCCTTTTAATGGATTTGTAATAAGTTATCACTGCCATGATCAACAGAACTAAATTAGTTCAGCCAGCAACCGTATTGAACACGTCTAACTTCATGCTAACAGCAAAGATGAATTCTGCACATAGGTACTTGATATAAGCAACAGTATTATATTGCAGAAACTGGAGCAGATTGTCAAGTCTGTGCTGGTGCATCATGGGGTAGATGAAGACAGCGCCATATTCAAGTCATGTGCAGACAAACTCTTCCAGGTCACCAAGTTCTTTGTTAAGGTAGGAGACATTGAATGTTCTGGTCGAAGAAAGTTAACAAACACTCAGTACCTGTACATGGCTGATCTCTCATGGTTGTTCACAGTGTGTTCTTTATTTATTTTGAGTAGTATACACTCCATACGGGCCCAGGTTGCAATCAGTGGTACTTGTAAGTGGTTAGGTGGTTCCCTGTGAAGATCCAGGTAGGAATTGATCTTCAGTAACCCATGCTTGTGGTAAGAGGCGACTATCGGGATGTCAGGCTCGCTGACTTGGTTGGCACGTCATCGTATCCCAATTACGTAGATCAATGCTCATGCTGTTGATCACTGGATTGTCTGGTCCAGACTCGATTATTTACAGACCGCTACCATGTAGCTGGAATATTGCTAAATGCGGCGTAAAACTAAACTCACTCACTGGTTAGGTGATGTTTCTGGATCGACTGGAACTTTCTGTGTTCTACTCAACGCTACATTGGCATACAGAAATAAGGACTATGTCTTTCTTGGAATGTCCCTATTGTTAGTTGAGCAGTACAAGTGCATGAGTAGTATTATGACAGATGTCTGAAGACTGTTACAGACATGTTGGTCAACCTGTTAGTACACCCTGTTAGTACACCCTTAACTGTTGACCCCGCTATGTGATGTGTGTGGTGTACTTGCAGACTCTCCCCAACTCCAGGAATCTCAGTCAAGAAATGAAGAACATTGCAGAGGGCCAGGTCACACAGGTAGGTGCCATTGTGTTCAGATTAACTTTTGATGAGATGTCTTTCAGTGTCATCATTCTTGTTGATTTTTGATGTAAAGCAGCGGCAATACAGTATTGTATCAGTATTGTACTGTGACATGAGGCTAATGATACTGTACACAGATTTACAACTCTTGTTTTGCAATACATTACAAAGTACACTTGTGGAAAAATGTGAAAAATAATCTTTTCAAGGACCAGTTGATACAGATATTATATCTCTAGTATTTTCTGGTTGGCAGTATTTTCGCGGAGCCCCTAAGTTTATGTTTCTATACAATATCTTCACTGTCAGAAATTTAAAAACAAATGATTCTGGGTTGTGATTGACCTGCAGAAAGGATTAGAGCATGTATCAAGATACTTATTGTATCGCACCCTATTATCACCATACGTATCATATCACTGGCCCAATGGTATTGTTACACCGGCTGTGACTGGTAAGCCTTTTCACTTACTGACGTCCAATCCATCTGTCACTGGACAATTCAAAGAGTAGTTCACAGTTTGTAATCTCATACCATTCCACATGGATTTAGTTCTACTCTTAGATCAGAAAACAGTTATCATATTTATGGTTGTCTTCACGACTTGCATCCAGATCTTTTAGGGGCATTGTTGATCATTCGATTCATCAAATATTTTGAGTAATGATGTTGTGTTCTTGTCTCCATTCCTTGTACAGCAGTTCTGGTTTCAGGTGGTAGACCTGGAGAAGAGACGGCAAGAGATGAAGAGACCGTCCAGAAAGTAGAGCGAGCGAGAAATGGGCATCACACATTGTACCCATGTGGTCAGGAAGTAGACACCGTCCAGGAAGTAGACACGTGCTGTAATCACTCCTCATCCCTGTCCGTGTCAGTAGACACCATCCTGGAAGTAGACATGTGCTGTAATCCCTCCTCCTCCCTGTCGGTGTCTGTCTGGAATTTATGTATCAGATGATGCTGTTTCCTGCTCCGAGTTTCATCACATGCCAGAAACCTATAAACCTCAACCTGATTCTATGTTGGTTCAGCGCCATTCTGTAGTCTTTCAAAGACCTGTATCACCTCAGGATTTCCACCCACATCAAGCTGGTGTTCCAAGGTGTAAATGAATGACTGTTTCAAGAAGTTTTAAAAAAACAATCTTGCTCACTCACTCACTCACTATTTCTGCAAACATATCATTTTGTAATAAACCATGTTGAACAGCTCAGTGTTCCTGTCTTAATGAAATAAAAGCTCGTATGTCATGAGTGCTATGGTCAGCATGGCGTTTCCACTAAACAAACATCTCTGCAAATGTAGAAGAAAGGAATGATTTGTGAAATTCATCAACACAGAATAGCATTTAATTCCTGTTTATTGATTGAAATACATGAGATGATGGCTCCATATGGTTATGTACAGAGGAAATGCTGAAGAAATCAGCACAGACCAAACACACTTGAGTATGTCCAACAATATATCCCACTATCACTATTTTCTGTCAACATCATTTTGTCTCATGAAGTATTATCTACTGCCTTAAAAAGGGTATAAAGTATGAACAAAGAACCATCATTCAGAAAATGAGAGCTCAGAGCTGAAGCATGCCTCATTAGCCTCCTGCTACTGACTGTGTGTCGCTGTGAAAACTGCTGATGCAGCATTATGAAACTGTCACTTTTACACATGATAAACTGATGGTAAAGAAACCAGCTCAGGTAGCTCACTGATTCCTCCAGTACAGATAGTAAACCTACGGCCACTGTCAGGTATGTGTCCCGTAAATCATATATCCTGCAAAAACTAAGTGTAGGTTTAGGTCACATGACCACCCATGACCAGAAACTCTGGAGTCTAATGTCTTTCTCAACATAATGTCATTATTTTCACGCATAATGTCAGGTGCTGTTGTCACGTTGGTCGTTCATCTCCCTTGAGGGCTCGGTACATGCTCATCTCATTTGGAAACACTTTCGTAAGTTCAACCATGAGCATTGCCTTAAACCTCTGAAAAATAAAGACAGGGTTTTAAAACAAGGCTTTCAAACCTGCACAGAGTCATGGTAACTCAATGCGATGTCATAGCTTTACAGGTACTGCTTGTTTTCTGTCAAACACCCTAAAACTGCAGTAAAGGCTTGACAAAAATACTTGGAAGCTGCTTGATGGATTTCTTTCTATTTTATACATGTTTTTTTCTGTCTCATTTAATTATGACTTTGTTTCTGGTAAGGTTTTCATCAAAATCTTAAGGCATCTGTATCATTGGATGAAATTCACATACAACATGAGTGTTTGCTTGGACAAGGTAAAATAGTGTAACAATTTGCTTTATAATCTCTTGAGGACAATTAAATGATTTGAGGTGGGGGAACTCAGATAATTTAGTGTTACTGTTATATATAAACAAAACAGAAAAGAAACAGTTAGTATCTAAACAAATTGTCAACATATTTTTCAGAAAGTAGGGTCGATGAAAATTGTCAAACCACTGTAAGGCCTAAATTTATTGTATACAATCCACACATTTTAAACTCACCTTCAAGTTATCCATCTTTCCCTTTATCAGTTCATTTTTAGCCAGGGCTTTTTCCAAACAGTCCTTTGTATACAGGTTGGGGTTTTTACCTTGATCGATGTAGCTGGAAGGTAATGAGAGATGCCTGTGACTGTAATTACAATCATGTGGAATGGGTATGAGTGCTAAAAAAGAGGAAAATGAGCCGGGGGTGTCAAGGGTCGTAGGTCCCCATGCCAGATCCAATTATCCCAGCGCGATCAAATCCACGGAAATCTGCAGAAAAATCTCATCCCCAGGAAGGATAATCATAATCAAGTCAACATAAACAACTTAATGGGACCAATAAACATTTCTAAGGGTGATATATTTCAGAACTTGTCCCATATGCCTATTTACATTGTTGACCTGGTCATGGCCACATCAAGCCATGAATCGAAGATGTAGTTCACAATATATATTTTATGTCAACCTGTACAGGCAGCCTTACATGTGTGTGACCGTTCCCATGTGTTCTGGCACACTTCTGGAGCTCACTGTGGATGTCCCCACAACATAAGTTTAGCCTTATGACACATGCAGTAAAACTATCATAGTCTGGACCCTGTAGGGAGGAGGACTAAGAACAGTGGTGTGTGATATATACTCAAGAATTCCAATTTCCATGATTATTCTGAGGATGCCACTGAACTGTAGATAACACCCTTATGTGTTCAGTATAGAATTAATGATTTGAGGAAATCTAAAGATATAAAGGCACAACCTGTATCATTCTTATTTAGGGATGTAACCAGCTATTATTTAGCACCAAGGTTTCATTTGAATTATACTCCTTACAAAGATATGATAACCTGTGCATCCAGGGTTTTTTATAGAACCATTCAGAGGTATGATGCACTGGATCATCAGTGGATGATCTGAGCACCTTTTGGATACAGAACCACAGCTTCTCATTAGGACAATCTTTGTCACATGAGACAAACGAAAGCCACCAGCAGACTGAGTCATGTCCACACTGTTAAACTAAATGGGGGGCTGTGGGGTAGCCTGATGGTTAACATGGTTAGAGCATCTGCTCGTTACGCTGAAGACCCGAGTTCGATTCCCCACATGGGTAGACTGTGTGAAGCCCATTTCTCGTGTCCCCCGCCATGATATTGCTGGAATATTGCTAAAAGTGGCGTAAAACCATACTCACTCACTAAACTAAATGGAAATGTCCCCAGTCCTGCCTAATTTCATGGAACTGAATGGAAATCGGTGAGAAACTTACAAAAGTTACGGGAAGTTCGGAAGGCAAATTAAGACATAGGCTATTAAGATTTTATTCTGTACTGAACTCTCACATTAGTCTGGATAATTGAAATAATTGAGCATGAAATGGATAATTATAATATAAACATTTAAGAACTGTGATTATTCAGAATTATCACTTGGCTATATATTTAGTCACTGGTTCAAATACATAAAGCAAAATGTAATCCCTTTATCTACCTGGGCCCACTTGCACGGAGCAATGCTAGCACTGCGATGATCCAATACTCACTTGAATATCATAGCACTAAGAATAGTAAGACCGTTTGTGCAAGATCATGAAGATAGCTCTGTTAACTTACTCAAAAACTTCCAAAGGGACATGGACATCTTGCATCTGAGGACGGAACTTGTCGATTTCCTGCATCTCTAAAACCATTGTCTGCCTGAAACGACAAAAATACAGTTCCTGCATTTTATGATTTACATTTTAAATTACAATATGTACAAGATTTACATTTTAAATTACAATATGTACAAGAAATGAAGAGACCAGAATTGGTTCACGTCATTCACTACGAGTGAGTGAGTTTGGTTTTACACCGCTTTTAGCAATTCCAGCAACATTACGGCGGTGGACCCCAGAATTGGTCTTCACACATTGTACCCATGAGGGGAATCGAACCCGGGTCTTCGGCGTGACGAGCCAACGCTTTAACCACTAGGCTACCCCACCGCTCCTAATTCACTACGACTTGCGCAGTCAAAGAAGCGAACTTTAACACGACGGGCTTTGTCGGCGCCCAGCAAACAGTCAGCTTGTACATTATCTCAACATGGATATTATGAGGCAATGATAGTCTTACAGAATGCAACGAGAGGAGGAATATTTGAAAATGTTTGATCAGATGTTGGGCTAGCCGAGCTCTCGGCTAATGTTGGGCTTACGTAGCTTCGTTTTGCAGAGCATACTTGAGTTTTCATTAAGTCTTTTTCACAACACAAGTGTACTTACAACTTTTGATTCAGAACATTCTGTCCTTGTGGCTGAAAATCACTAACAATGATACCCATTTGACGGGTATTTTCAATAAACAATTCTAGCTGTTGTTCCAAAGCCTCGAATTTGTCCGCCATGATTGAAACCTATCAAGGGAGGTAACCGCTCAAATTCTGTCATGAGCAAACCACATAAAAAGTTATGAGCGATTCGGTTGATATCTAATGTTAAATGATGTGAAATTATTTCAAGAAATTCCACTCATTTCTTTTCCGAAGCACACCTTATTAAACCATGTAAAATAATCAAAGAGAAAATGAAATGTGATCATTTACCTTCATGAATACATGGACGGGATGTAGTGGGTTTTGTACCCCAAACCAGTGTGTGGCATGGTACCTATCAAAGGGCTCCAATGCATTTGCTGTGTTTCAAGATATGATGTTACTTTTTATACAATCAAACAGTTTCTGATTCTGATAGTAATAACTAAGAAGACTTAATCAATCTACCTCTACTGTTTTCACTAAACATTCGCAAATAAATATGAATACAGTGAAACCTGCCAACACCGGCACCTGTATATTTTCGGTATAAAATCACCAGGGGTTTGGAGTATAAATGTACAAAACTGATTTGTTTTGAGATGCGAATACATTTACCAGGAAACATTCCCCATGACACGGACATGGTTTCCTGTAATGAAAACAGAGAAGATTAAATGAAAGGCTGATATATGAGGTTACGAAATTATCATAAGAGCAAATAGTGACTCTCGGCTTTGTCTACAGGTGCGTTCTACCCCACCTACATTGACCCTTCGATCCTTGCTTCCTCGCGGCAACCATCCATGCTATCTTCTGTATTCTAGCAGTAGGCTATATAGTTCCTGCTGCCCATATTTTGTTTACCATTGTTTGGCGTTGACTTTAGTTGTCAGTAGCCCATTCTCTTGTTAATTAATTTCCTTCATGCACGTATTCCACTTGTGGTTTCCCGTTTTGTGCCTTACAAATCGCTGGATTGATTTAAATAACGTTTATATGGATTTAAGAAAAGAAAAACACAACACCCCTAAACACAGTCCATTTTGTATGGATAGGTAAGCAATGCTTTGTGAAACATTTGAGAGTTTAGTGGCTTTGACGTTGAGTTACTGTACGAAGCGCCATAAAATACCAACTTTTGACAACGTTCGTGTGGATCTCGAAACATTAAGACGCCGGTCTCCATAACGCTGAAATAGTTCTCCGATTCGTACTGAACATAATGTTTGTTGAATCCGTCTTCACCCATTAAGCAGCATAGTTGTGTATTGCATTCAAGTAACAGATTCGATTGTTGATTTCCCTCCAGTCACACCAATCACAGACACAAAATCAGCGGACATCCGCCCTGCTCACAGATGAGACAGCTGAGTACGTGACGGTCTTGTCGAAGATATGTTGTTTCAATACACTCATACACTCAATAGGAATAATGTCTCGAGAATGTCTAGTGAATAACCTGCCTGCAGTTAATTAAAGGTACACGTATGTCTGGAGAGCTGCCATTGATGGATCTATTTGTTTACCGCCGACACCATGTGGTATGTAGGGGTGTGTAGTCGGTAGAGTGCCTAATGTCAAGTCAGTTGTCAATTCTTTATTACGGAAATAGTGTAGGCCATCGGCCCATGACTACAATACAATAATCAGTTGTCAAGGCGTGTTAGCCATGCATATATCAGATGATTTGTTAAATTTATGTTTAAGTTGCTTTAACTATCAATACTTAGTAGAGATACTTTTCTTAGCAGCATAGCTTTATAGATGTACAAAGATATGTTTCATAATAATTCACAATTAGAAGTTAAGATATTGAACTTAGCTGGTTGGAAATATATAGTATTTACAAGGTATGTTATTTCCTTATGTCCCTATATGCTTGACAGACCAGAAGAACATGAAACGCGTCCTCCACATAGCCACCCTTACACATGTTACATAACCTAGAATTTCTATTGGTATTGGAATATCGACCAGTTTCAATATGGAGCTGACGAGTAGAAGACCTGAACTGAGCTAATGCATATCTAAACTATTTAAAACTGCATTTCAAGTAATGTACCATATTTCTTGAAGTGTGTATACGATGCTTTGGAGCTTCAGTGTTACAATAAATACATATAATGGACAGTTAATATAGAATGCTAGTCTGGACAATCATCATACATAAAGTAAGTTGTGAAACTCCAACGGGCGAAGGGGTTGTCTTGCTGAAGATTCGGATTAGACTCCCCACGTGGGTGCAATGTATGATGTTCATTTCTGATGTTCCCCGGATGTTGCCGGAATATTGCAAGAAACGACACAAAACGATGCTTACTTACTCAGTCAGCAGGGCCGTAATACCCACGGTATCACCCACTGGCTGGTTCATTCAGAGCCACACTCACTGAGAAATGACATTGCTGATGGCAGTGTCTCAGGGTCGGCATGGTTGGTATAGGGCTGTGTTTCTGTATCCCGCCGTTCATTACCTTGCTGCCTGCTACAGAGGTGTAAGGGTGGTCTAATGATCACTCTGCTTGTGACTCAATCGCCAAATCTGTTTGTCTCAATGCTACCTGACGACTGCACAAAAAGTTTTAAGAAACGAGAAACCCAGCATTTTATTGTACAGTCATCAGTTGAACACCACATGTTTATTTCAAGGATGTTACTCAAAGTTGATCTTCAGTAACCCACGCTTGTCGTAAGAGGCGACTAACAGGATCGGGTGGTCAGGCTCGCTGACTTGGTAAACACGTCATCGGTTCCCAATTGCGTAGATCGATACTCATGCTGTTTATTATTGGATTGTCTGGTCCAGACTCGATTATGTACAGGCCGCCGTCACATACAATGTAGCGGGGATATTGTTGAGTGCGGCGTAAAACTAAAACTCACTCACTCAGTTACTACATACTGTTATATTTTAGGCACAACTGAAAACAACTAGTTCGCTTCTGAAGCTATGAGTCTCCTGTTACCTGATCTGGTAGGACAGGCGTTAACTCCGTTCCAATCTGTCCTGGGAAAGTTAAATATGGATCAGATAAATACGGTTTCAAAAATGTAACTATAGATTAGAGACCTGGCTATCTATTCTCGAAACATTCGTAGCCCTGCGAACTTCTTAAGCCCATTCTTAACACATTGGCTACAATCAAAATTTTACAAATTCTTAGGGCTACGAACGTTTCGAGAATAAGGGCCCTGTATCTTATCCGATCGGATTGATATATGCACAGATTTGGGCTCATATAGCTGGTAGGGTTCTCTTGTGTTTGCCCACTGGATTACCATACCCCAGTTAAACACAGGGCTATGGTACAACTCAGTATACTGACCTAGTATACTGACATTCAGCCAGCTAATCCCCGTTTTAGATACCTACTAGCAATCACAGACAGGGTAACACTGGGCTATGGTACAACTCAGTATACTGACCTAGTATACTGACATTCAGCCAGCTAATCCCCGTTTTAGATACCTACTAGCAATCCCAGGCAGGGTAACACTGGGGTATGGTACAACTCAGTATATTGACTCATTATACTGACATTCAGCCAGTAATCCCCGTTTTAGATACCTACTAGCAATCACAGACAGGGTAACACTGGGGTATGGTACAACTCAGTATATTGACTCTGTATACTGACATTCAGCCAGCTAATCCCCGTTTTAGATACCTACTAGCAATCCCAGGCAGGGTAACACTGGGCTATGGTACAACTCAGTATATTGACTCATTATACTGTCATTCAGCCAGCTAATCCCCGTTTTAGATACCTACTAGCAATCCCAGGCAGGGTAACACTGGGCTATGGTACAACTCAGTATATTGACTCTGTATACTGACATTCAGCCATCTAATCCCCGTTTTAGATACCTACTAGCAATCACAGACAGGGTAACACTGGGGTATGGTACAACTCAGCATATTGACTCTGTATACTGACATTCAACCAGCTAATCCCCGTTTTAGATACCTTCTAGCAATCACAGGCAGGGTAAAACTGGGTTATGGTACAACTCAGTATACTGACCTAGTATACTGACATTCAGACAGCTAATCCCCGTTTTAGATACCTACTAGCAATCACAGACAGGGTAACACTGGGGTATGGTACAACTCAGCATATTGACTCTGTATACTGACATTCAGCCAGCTAATCCCCGTTTTAGATACCTACTAGCAATCACAGGCAGGGTAACACTGGGCTATGGTACAACTCAGTATATTGACTCTGTAAACTGACATTCAGCCAGCTAATCCCCGTTTTAGATACCTACTAGCAATCACAGGCAGGGTAACACTGGGGTATGGTACAACTCAGTATATTGACTCTGTATACTGACATTCAGCCAGCTAATCCCCGTTTTAGATACCTACTAGCAATCCCAGGCAGGGTAACACTGGGGTATGGTACAACTCAGTATACTGACCTAGTATACTGACATTCAGCCAGCTAATCCCCGTTTTAGATACCTACTAGCAATCACAGGCAGGGTAAAACTGGGTTATGGTACAACTCAGTATATTGACTCTGTATACTGACATTCAGCCAGCTAATCCCCGTTTTAGATACCTACTAGCAATCACAGGCAGGGTAACACTGGGGTATGGTACAACTCAGTATACTGACCTAGTATACTGACATTCAGCCAGCTAATCCCCGTTTTAGATACCTACTAGCAATCCCAGGCAGGGTAACACTGGGGTATGGTACAACTCAGTATATTGACTCTGTATACTGACATTCAGCCAGCTAATCCCCGTTTTAGATACCTACTAGCAATCCCAGACAGGGTAACACTGGGGTATGGTACAACTCAGTATACTGACCTAGTATACTGACATTCAGACAGCTAATCCCCGTTTTAGATACCTACTAGCAATCACAGGCAGGGTAAAACTGGGTTATGGTACAACTCAGTATATTGACTCTGTATACTGACATTCAGCCAGCTAATCCCCGTTTTAGATACCTACTAGCAATCCCAGGCAGGGTAACACTGGGGTATGGTACAACTCAGTATATTGACTCTGTATACTGACATTCAGCCAGTTAATCCCCGTTTTAGTTACCTACTAGCAATTACAGACAGGGTAACACTGGGCTATGGTACAACTCAGTATATTGA